TTGGTTTTTGTTTTAAATGGTTCCGATATGTGTATGGAGCTCCCGACTCATACAAATTTTCGATGTGTAAAAAGAGATGGAAGCGTTTTGTATAAGAGTTTTTTTCATTCTCAAGGCTCGAATTGAAATCCTCTTTTAAGTGTGAAAGAATCCTATCTATTTTACCATAAGCCTGGATGGTGATACAATTTTACATTATCTCATATCTAAAGAGTCCGGAATAAAACAATTTATCTTTGGAATTTTTGCTTATTAGTAGCGCTGGTTGGAAAATTTATGGATGAAATATCTCGTGCGTAACAAGATCACACTAAGTAGGTGTTTGAAGTCTTGAGGTAAAATTAATCTAAAGTCACAGTTGACTTATAATTAATTCTGATTTAATCAAAATATCTACTACTACTTTATATCTCTAATATAATTTGTAATTCACAAAGTAATGCTTTTGAAACAAAATCCTTAACTTCCTCTCTGTAACATTTCAAGCATTCATTCTTTTTCATGTAAAGGTACTTTTAAATATATAATTTATTGTTTGTAAATATATAGCTACAATGGTATTTTGATTATTATAATATAAATTTTGCAGAACAGATCAACTACTACTTGTTATTGACTTCAAAAACTTTTATACTCTGTTTTAAAAGGTTGTGGCACTATTTAAACGCCCCGAGACTCACATACACTCACATACGGGGCTTAGTTACATGAGGCTACTCCCCAAGTGCCTCATTGTGCGCCTTGAATACGCCTAACGCTAAATGCTCGGGACTCGCCTAACAGTTATTATGCAAATCATATGCTGAATTTGTTAAATGGACCTTGGGCCTAACTCAACCCCAAAAACTAGCTTATGAGGTAAGGATTGCCAAAGACATTAAAGACCTCAAAGCCCACCGTTGTAGGACAAAATCGATAACACTAATTAGGATATGCCTAGCTCTAATACTATGTTAAATGGACTTTGGGCCTAACTCAACCCCCACAAGCTAGCTTATGAGGTGAGACTTTCCCAAAACCATATTAAATGAAAGGCTAACTAATTGTGGAGCTCTCTATTCGTATTTATAATCGTCTTTACATAGATTAATTACGTAAGGACTCTACAAAAGAGATAAATATCTACAATCCTAAGTTAATTAGACTTGAGAGTTCTAATACGGGTCAATATGGCAGAGATGATGGACAGATTGTCACACAAATAACAAAATTGAAGAGAAGAAAAATCCTTTGTAAAGATCTCAGCAAGCCGCAAACGTGTGAGCACATATAGAACCACAAGATCCCCCTAAGCTACTTTGTCACAAACAAAGTGAAAGTCAACATCAATATGTTCGGACCGGTCATGGAAAATAGGATGGCGAGTCATGTAAGTAGAGCTAACATTGTCGCACAATACACGAACTGGATCACGGAGGAAAATGCTTAGTTCACGGAGAATATGACGAATCAAGAACAACTCAGCAACAGTGTATGCAACGGCCCTATACTCGGCCTCTATAGAAGTTTAGGAAATTGTTGGTTGCTTCTTTGCATGCCAAGAAATAAGATTTGAACCCAAAAACACAGCAAATGCAGTAGTAGAGCACCGACTATAAGAACACCCAGCCCAATCAGAATCATAAAAGGCAACCATCGTGGAAGTAGATGAGGCACAACTAAGAAAAAATCCATGGGTGAGGATTCCCTGCAAATACCTGAAAATACGCTTTACAGAATGCAAGTGAGCAGAACGGGGTGCGTGCATAAAATGAGAGACAACATTTACAGCGTAGGCAATATCTGGATGTGTCATAGTCAAATATTGGAGGGCACCAACCATGCTTTGATATTCACTAGGATCTAATAGTAACCCATCATCCATAAGAGAGAGAAGTACGAAAAACAATAGGAGTACGAACATGTTTACTGGTATGCATGTGGAACTTAAGTAATAAATCAAAAATATACTTCCATTGAGACAAGTGAAGACCATGAGAAGTATGGACAACTTGGACACCAAGGAAATAATGGAGCTCACCTAAATCCTTCATTACAAATTGACGTGAAAGTCTAACAAAGTGATCAAGAAGAGTTTTGTCACTACCAATGAGAACTATGTCATCAACATAGAGTAACTGTCACGATCCAAAATACCTAGTCGTGATGGCACCTAATCTAACCCATCAGGTAAGTCAATTAACAACTATCCAATTTAATGAGATTTATTAAGATAAGAAATGATAATACACCGCTTTTATACAAAAAATTTTCAAGGACTGGTAATCCAAATCATGAGCTTCTAGGATTAGAATTTACAAATCTGGTATGAAATAAATACATCATTTGTTCGAAATGTACATAAATAGATTTTTTTTTATAAGTCTAAGGTTACCACGAACAAGAGGCAACTACGATCAGAACGCAGATACGTCTTCAAATCCAACTCCCGTCGATCACAGCAACATCAACATCCAATATCTGCACGCAAGGTGCAGAAGTATAGTATGAGTACAACCGACCCGCCTGGCCCAATATCCCTCTCCCCACTGGAACAAAGATCGGGGTCCAACACCAATAGCCAACAACAGTTCATAACAACATAATAGAAGTAATAAAAAAAGTAGCTCAGAGATAAAATGCTCAGATCATTCACAATTCCAGAAAAATAGCCCTACTTTTCAAATATATTAGTGTAAACCCAAATCCTTTACCGAAATCACCAATTTATGAGTAAGTTTGAAAACAGTAATTTTTTCCAAAACTTTCAATAGGTAAATATTTTATTTTTTAAATGACATGAGGAAAATACATCTCTATGCCTACATGTTAATATGTAGGAGAAGTCATGAATGACGTTATATAGTATATCAAGAGGAAGAATGTATCTCTATGCCTGTATGTCAAGTGTGCATGTCAATGCGTTGCAACTCAGTAATAAAACCATATGCATACTCTCAAAGTATCATTTCACTCAGTCCTTCCAGTCACTCAGTCCTCACAGTCACTCAATCCTCCCAATCGCTCGGCACTCGCACTCAGTAGGAACCTGCGCTCACTAGGGGTGTGTACAGACTCCGGAGGGGCTCCTTCAGCCCAAGCGCTATAACAAGCTAATCATGGCATAAATCAATAAAACATGATGTGGCGTGCAGCCCGATCACATCATAAATCAATATATATATATATATATATAAAGCCAGTATGGCCTGATGCGGCATGCAGCCCGATGCTATAAACATCCTCACCATTAGGCATTCGGCCTCACTCAGTCATCAATCTCTTTAGTCTCTCGGGCTCTCAGTGTCATGAAAAGAATCAGCCCAAAAATAATGATGTGATGTATTAATAAATGGTAATAGAGTATGAGATATGATATGCATATGAATGCGTATGACTAAGTGTGTAAATGAAATATAAGCAGATAAATCAACATCAAAAATGATCTCAGTGGGTCTCAACAGAATAGGCATGTAGCCTAGGCATGATTTCTAACATGGATCGCAGCTCAATAGCTCTAGTACGTAGAGATTTCATGGTTACAGATAAGATCGGGTAATTACACAGTACCGCAGAAGTAACAAAGTTACAATTTCCACGGTGCACGCCAACATGCCCTTTACCTAGCATGTGCGTCACCTCAACATCAAACACACAACATATATATTCAGGGTTCATACCCTCAGCACCAAGTTTAGAAGTGTCACTTATCTCGAACAAGCCGAATCCAATGCCGAGCAAGATAAACAATACTCCAAAAATTCCATTCCGTGCTTATCAACCTCCAAATGCCTTCCTATCTCTTCAATTCAAGCCAAACGATTCGTATCTATTCAAACAACGTGCAAATTCATCATAATTTACACTAATGCTTACAATTTAACAATTTACAAAAATTTCCAACTATTTCTCTTGAAAAATCAATAATCTAACGCCGAAAATAAAGATTAATTCATGGAATATAATCACAAGGGAGTCAAGAACACTAACCCCAAGTTGTGTGGTGAAATTTGCCTATGAAAATCGCCCAAACCGAGCTCCCAACTCTGTTTATGTCAAAAATGGCGAAATTCTCCGTTTATAGGGGTTTAATGCTTAGAGCGCCACCTGGACGCTGCATGTGGCGCTGTATCCAGAATATTAAAAACATCCCAGCGCCAGGGCTAGCGCCCCACGCTACCCTGGGTGCTGGTGACAGGATTTTATTTTTTTTCCGACACGAAAATGGGCATAAATCTCTCTCATACAATGTCCGAATTCGATGATTATTTTTGCTATGGCTCTGTAATTTCAATACGGATCTAATGCTTCAATCAAAACTGAATTTGGAGCTCATTTTCTTAATGTGATACCACGTATTCTTGAAGAATCGACGTCAAAACATTCTAGAAATATCCAAATTAAATTCCGTTAACCATCCGAAATCCACCCGAGGCCCTCAAATCACACGAACTTATTCGATGACTCAAATCACATCAAACAACACTAAAAACACGAATCACGCCCCAATTGAAGCTTAAATGAGACTATCGAATTCCAACTTCTATATTCGATGCCAAAACCTATCAAATCAAGTCCGATTGATTTCAAATTTTGTACACAAGTCATAAATGACATAACGGACCTATTCAAATTTCCAGAATAGGATTCCAACCCCGATATCAAAAAGTCAACTCCCGGTCAAACTTTCAATCTTTCAATTTCCTATTTTCGCCATTTCAAGCCTAATTTAACTACGGACTTCAAAATGAATATCCGGAAATGCTTCTAAGTCCAAAATCACCATACGGAGCTATTAGAACCATCAAAACTTCATTCCGGAGTTGTTTGCAAAAAAGTCAAACTTCTGTTAACTTTTTTTCATTTAAGCTTCTACACAAGGATTGTTCTTTCAATTTAATCTTGAATCGTCCGAAAACTAAAGCCGACAATTTACACAAGTCATAATACACATTACGAAGCTCCTCAAGACTTCAAATTGTTGAAAGGAGCATAGATGTTCAAAATGACAAGTCGGGTCGTTACAGTAACAGAATAAGAACACTCAAGTTGATCCGAAGAATGAACATAGAAGAGTCAGATTTGCTGCAAACAAAACCATGAGAAAGAAGAAATGTACTAAACCTGTGAAACCAAGCGCGTGGAGAAACATGACGAGGATAATCAAGATGAATGAAGAAGGAGGTTGCTTCATAAAAACCTCAACATTAAGCACACCGTGTAAAAATATATTTTTAACATTTAATTGATGAATATACCATGAATGAGAAATAGCAAGAGAAAGCACAATGCGAACAGTAGTTGCATGAATAACATGACTAAAAGTCTCATAATAGTCAATGCCAGATTGCTGATGAAAACCTTGTGCAACAAGACGAGCCTTGTATCTCTCAATAGACCCATCCAAATTATACTGAATGCGATAAATCCATTTACAACTTACCAAGCTAATATTTGGATTATAGGGAACAAGCACCCAAGTTTGATTTTCCAACAGTGCATTAAATTCATCAACCATGGCATTATTGCTACTTGGGATGTTTCACAGTTTGAGAGAAATATAAAGGTCCAGTCATATGTACATTTGTATACAGTAAAATCATTTTCAACCTTCGTACGATTGGTGAAGATGGACCGAAGAGCATTTTAATAATATCGAGGTGAGATTTGAAGAAGGCACGAACAAGCTTCGAGTTTTGGAGTCAGATTAAATACCGAGCTCGATGCCATTATCGAGCTCGAGTCCAAATCGAACTATACTGAGAAGCGACGGAATCGAGCTTAAGAGCCAGAGGCCAAATAATACCGAGCCAAGTCAATACTGGACCCCGAGTTGGCATCGAGCTCAAACCCGTACCGAGCTCTAAAACTGGAAACCGACCAATACCGACCAATACCGAGTCCGATCAAGATCGAGCTCATAGACGAGAGTCGTTACAGCCGCACTAAGGAGAGAATCTCGGCAGGAATTAGGGAAAAGTTGATTTATCATGGGTTTCTCACTATGTATTTTTAATTATATCTAAAGTAGGATCCCCCCACTATAAAAGGGATGGCTATATTTCGGTAAAAGGATCAAGTTTTGCATACATTGTAACTCAGATATCATACACTCCCATATTGAAGAATTATCCTTTTTTAGCTTCATAGATTGATTCATCTTGCTTAATCCATAAATCATCCTCTTTTCAACTTTGCTTATTTTTCATCCTTTACAGTCAATATTCGATATTTCTATTTACTCTTACGATTTGTATGAAGTTATACCGCATACCCTTAGAACTACGTACAAATTCAACTCTATCCGTTTTTCGAGAAATAGTTTAGCGACCACCGTGGGGCCAAGGATAATAGTGATTATTTGATAAGAATCTGCAAAAACACACCATTTTACGCTTGTTTTCGGAAGTATCTTTGATTTCGGATTAGCAGCGACGAGTTCACAATTAAATGGCCTTACCTATCGATAACGAAGCTGGCCTTCAAGCCTTACCTATCGATAACGAAGCTGGCCTTCAAGGTGAGAACAACAACTTGACGCCCAGGGCCGGAATGCCACTTGTCGAAGCCGTTTGAGCTCAAGTTGAAGTACCATTAGACGTTAATTCGCATGTGGCCATTGAGGCAAACCTACGTTCTGAACCTGAAAATAGCATTCATGGTGGTACTCGATCTGCAGCTTGAGAAACCCATAACATTGAGAAAAATGGAATCATCTTGCGTATGATTTTCGAAATGTTGCAAGCTCAACAGGTAGCAATAGCTCAGTTACAGAGTCAAACCCAGGTACCAAGCAGGCCGGAGCCCAGTCTACCCGAGAAATCACCCACAGAACGGAACCAGCAATAATAAGATCAAATGAGCAAGAGACAGGGACTAATTCCGAAATTGCCAAGATACTCGAGGAACTCACAAAACGGATCGAAGTAATCAATAAAAAAGTGAAAACATATAACTCCAGGGTCGATCAGATCCCAGGGGCACCACCAGCATTGAAAGGGTTGGATTCCAAAAAATTCGTGCAAAAGCCTTTTCCACCAAGTGCGGCTCCAAAACCGATCCCTAGAAAATTCTGCATGCTCGAGGTTCCTAAATATAATGGAAAGACCGACCCAAACGAACGCGTCACCTCTTACACATGTGCCATCAAGGGTAACGATTTAGAAGACGATGAAATCAAATCTGTGCTATTGAAAAAATTCGGAGAGACCCTCTCAAAGGGAGCAATGATTTGGTATCACAACCTACCACCAAACTCCATTGAGTCATTCGCCATGTTAGCAGATGCCATCGTAAAGACACACGCAGGAGCGATAAAGGTCACAACGAGGAAATCGGACCTTTTCAAGGTAAGACAAAGGGATAATGAAATGCTGAGAGAATTCGTGTCCCGATTTTAAATGGAACGCATGGAATTGCCACCGGTCACAGATGATTGGGCCATTCAAGCTTTCACCCAAGGATTGAACGAGCGGAGTTCGATAGCATCACGTTGGCGGAAACAAAATTTGATCGAATATCCAGCTATAACTTGGGCAGATGTGCACAACCGATATCAATCGAAGATCAGGGTTGAGGACGACCAATTAGGAGCCCCTTACAGTTCAGTACATCCAAACAGGTTGATAGTTAAAAACCAGAGGGACGTCGCCAGGGGTTCAAGGTCGAACAGATACGGATATCAACCATATACCGCAAATAGAAGGAATATTGATTCAAAACGCAATTCCGCCCGGAACAATTGAAGAAGTGATCGAGTATAGAATTCTCGAGGACTTATGAGCAAAAATGGTTTTGACAAGTATGCCGATCCCACAGAAGCACCTCGGTTATCAGAATATAACTTTATCATCGATGCATCGGACATTTTATCAGCAATCGGAATGATCAAAGGTACTAGGTGGCCCAGACCCATACAAACCGATCCTTCCCAAAGAAACCCGAATTTGATGTGCAAGTATCATGGCACGCAAAGTCACAAGACCGAAGATTGTAGGAAATTAAGGGAAGAGGTATCCCGTCTATTCAATGAGGGCCACCTTCGAGAGTTCCTCAGCAATCGAGCCAAGAATCATTTCAGAGAAAGGGATGCCAACAGGAAAAACAAATAGGAGGAACCCCAACATGTCATTCATATGATCGTCGGTGGGGTCGACATTCCACAGGGACCCATATTCAAACGCACGAAGGTATCAATCACTAGGAAAAAACGAGCCCAAGATTATGTGCCCGAAGGCACTTTATCATTCAACAACGAAGAAGCAGAAGGCATTTCTCAGTCCCACAATGACGCTCTGGTAATTTCTATCTTATTAAATAAAGTTCAAGTTAAGCGTGTTTTAGTGGATCCTGGAAGCTCGGCGAATATCATTTGATCAAGGGTCGTGGAGCAGCTCGGCATACAAAATCAAATCGTGCCCACAGCTCAGGTCTTAAACGGCTTTAATATGGCCAGTGAAACAACTAAAGGGGAGATTACTTTACCGGTGAACGTGGCTGGAACCATT